TTGAAGAAGATGATAAATGCATATGTTGAAGTAAATCCCGTTATTCTCGACATTTTATAAATGTCGAGAATGATAGTTTAAATGTAATTCTCGATATTTTCAAATGTCGAGAATAACATTAAATACTAAACGAAATTAGGGAATATTTTGTGTACATCGTTTCACATATTAGATGCGGTTAGCATTTTCGTTTTAGGTATTCGTTATTAGCTGATATTATTTTTGTTTATGGCATGCAGATATGGGAGATGTTATGAGATTCATTGTCTCGTACGGTGGTACATTCGTCAACATGGACGACAAGTGGAAGTGGTTAGAGGACCGAGCAACATCAATTGTTATTCGACATGATATTAGATATGAAGAGCTTGTACACACATTTCGAGAAATTGAATATTGACAGAATGAAATTTCGAATTCAATTGAAATTTAAAGTTCTGAACATGAATATACTCCCTGCTAATGTAGCCGATGATGAGGATTTGCAATTGTACATTTTTGTTCACACACAAGCAGCTTTGTGTGTAATTGCAGCTCAATACGATGCTGGAGAGCACGAAGTGCATGTTGGAGTTGACCCTTTCTCACCAATAGAAGATGCATTGTGTGGACGTGACGAAGTGGGTGTGTGCGAACTACAAGAGTCACAAATGATTAATAATACAAATGTAAGTTTGGGTGAAGCGAATTCGTATATTGGAAATGAAATTCAATTGATCGATGAAGAGGACATTGAGGAGAATCAGATCTTTTTTAGCAAGAAACAGTACACAAGGCTAAGATTGAAGGCTTTGACAGCGAAGTTTTCATTTCAAGGTTAAAAAGTTGAATCCTAGATCTCTTATTGTGTGTTGCGTCGATACTACGTGCCATTGGCTTGTGCGAGCTTCTAAGATAAACACTTCAGACATATTTAAGGTTTGAAAGTACATACCTGAGCACACATGTTCTCTAGACATTTGGCAGAATGCCCAAATTCATGCAACGAGTGCACTAATTGGGCATCACATAATGCAACGATTGAATGATGCTAATCAACCATACGTTCCTGCCAGAATTATCAGCGATAAGGAACGTGAGTTTGGTGTACGGATTAGCTACAATAANTAAGATTCGAAAGTACATACATGAGCACACATGCCGTTTAGACGTTTGATAGAATTCACAAATTCATGCAACGAGTGCACTATTTGGGCATCACATAATGCAACGATTGAATGATGCAAATCAACCATATGTTCTTGCCGGTATTATCAGCGATATGGAACGTGAGTGTGTTGTACGAATTAGCTACAATAAAGCATGGAGGGGGTAAGGAAAAGGGCCTTCAAATTCTTCGTGGTTCACCTGAAGAAAGTTTTCAGAAATTGTTGTCATACTTTCACATGTTAACTGATAGAAACCTAGGAATCGTCGTACACATTGACCTCGATATCAACAACAGGTTCTTGTACTTCTTCTTAGTAATCGGGCCTAGTATACGTGGTTTTCGAGAGTACATGAGGCAGGTAATTTGTGTTGATGGGAGCCATTTGAAGTACAAGTATAAGGGAACACTACTAGTAGCTGTAGTACAAGATGCCAACATGCAAATATATCCAATTGCTTGGGAGGTTGTCGATGGGGAAACAAATGCATCGTGGTATTGGTTCTTCACGAAGTTGAAAGATATCATTGAGGACTCAAATCAGCTAGTGTTTGTGTTGGACATGAAAAATAGTATTAAGCGGGCCATTACGAGGCTATTCCTGCTTTCTCACCACGGTGCTTACATTTAGTATATCGAGAAAAATCTTATTGCTAGGTATAGTAGTAGCAATGTCATTTTTTTGTTCAAGTGTACAACCCTAGCATAACATTTAGTAATGTCTTTAGAAATTCGACCAGTTCATGACACATATTAGAACTATTCGACTAGCAGTGGCTTCTTATTTGGAACATGCTAGTTTCTCCACCTGGTCACGGGCAAATTTCGTTGGTAATTGGTACGTCATGACTAATAACAGTGTGGAGTCACAAAATGCAATCCTCAGACGACAACGAAGTTTTCCTATAACCTCGTTGGTCGAAAACATTACATCATTAATACAACAATGGTTCTTCAAGAGGAGAAACGCATCTACCAATTGTCATAGTGCCTTGACACCAAAAATGGAGAAGGAATTGAGAATGTCGTTTGACGCCGATGTAACCTTTCAAGCACGAAATTTGGATGAATTCGTTTTTGAGGTTGGTGTACGTGCAGGAATGTATACTGTCGACCTTATAGGTAACACATGCTCATATTGAGAGTTTCATATGTGACAAATTATGTGTGCATATGAATCCCGAGCTGCTTACGCAAACGGTAAATCACTGTATGACTTGTGCTCCCCTTACTACACCATAGAGTGTTGGTGAGCTGCGTACACAGAAGTGCTTTACCCCATCGGAATGGTGTCAGATTGTGTTGTTCCTCATGCCATTCGTTTCATCGAAGTGTCGCCCCCAAATATACGTAGAACACCAGATCGACCTCCTACATAATGTAAACGGTCAAGAACTGAAAGGTCGACCAGCACACGAAAATGTGGCCGAAGTGGGGGGTCTGGACACAATAGACAAACATGTAGAAACCCGACACCATTGAGTAACACATGCAGTTGAATGACTTTGTGTATTTTGAGTGTGACATGACTTGCTAACATGGATTATCAATGTTTTGAAAAATAATTTGATGCATTATATGCTTTCTATCTTTTTTGTTTCTAATTATAATGTTCTTAGTATATTAATCGGTTGGGTTTTTTTATTAATTCATGACTGGAATTTTCTTAATCATTGTATATACAATTTGGCAATGGGTACAAAGAAAGCCATGAATGACTTGTTTTCCTAAGTCACTGGACATATAAAATGGTAATCACAACAAAAGCAGGCCATAACTGTCTGCATGTTGTAGGTTACTACATATACAAAATGGTGATCACCACAAAACATACCCATTACCTATATGAATTTTTATGTCACTAGATATCCTTCAACATTTCACTTACGACGATTGCATCTTCTACATATCTTCCACAACGGACAAAGAGGACATCTCATTGTCATTCTCATCGTCGGAGCTTTGATGATAACATCTTTGTGCTTGTTTGTCTCCCATTTTGGGAGAATAAATAGAGTTTTGAATAGTATTTTTTGGAGAATGTGTGGTTAAAAAGTAAAGTAATTTTATTAATTTGTGTGTAGAATATTTTATTGAGTGAATATGTGGTGGAGATTATTTACTGTAGCAAACAATGTTTGATAAAATGGATGACAGACATGGGCTTCATTTACAGTGGGAACCGCTCCAACATTGTCATCCAACAAGACGTGGTGTGCTTCCGGTGGGACTTCTACTAGGACGATCTCACGATTGACGATACGATGACCCACTCCAACTTCAAACGGCTCAATTTCTTCATTTTTATCTGAAAACAGAATGGGATGAAGGCTTACCCTACGACGGCGGTTCCCCAGTTGAGGAACATATGGAACAAAAACATTGACATCTTCATCATCTTCCGAGTCGATGACGATCGGGTTGTCTGCGGACGACTAGGGTGGGGAGAAGTTAATAGCAACATCGATACGAGGAGTTTCTTGGGTTGATGAACACATTTATCAATGAAAGAACTTGTTAATACTAGTAATTTCATATTCAAGCCAAAACCATTGTTTTATAGTGGATGAGTACTTGTGCTTCAATACATTAAATGTTATCACACCAACCTATTGCCTATTTCTATTTACATTTGATTGACACTTATTTCACATCATTGGATGTAGACCTCGTACTTGTGATATGAGGAGTTTCTTGGATTGATGAAAACATAATCAATGGAAGAACTTGTTAATGCTAGTAATTTCATATTGAAACCAAGGCCATTATTTTAGGGTGGATCAGTACGTATTTTTCAATACATTAAATCTTATCACACCAACTCCACCTATTGCTATTAACCATTGATTGACACTTATTTCAAAACATTGGGTGTAGACCTTGTTCTTGTGATATGAATATTAATTGATGTATTTCT